TCCTGCCCTGTGGGTGCGCCCCGACCTCCTGAAGTGGACCCAGTCTCTCCATGGTGGGAGCTCCACACACTCCGCCACCGCCCCACACTCTCCACCCGCTCCTTGTGCATGCCCTGCCCCACTGAAGTCAGCTCAGTTGCCAGGCTGCAGAGAATCCAGTCACCAATCTATGCAGGCCCACAAATTGCCTGAGGGCTTGTTGTTGGGTGGGGCCAGTCCCTGGGGTGGGCTGCCTACCCTGGCTGAGCTGGATTAAATCAGTGCTCTAATGAGTGGGGCAGCCCTGGGCTAGCAGGCCCCAGGGAGAACTCCAATAGTGTCTGTGTCAGCACACCCACACCAGGCCACAATAATGGCTGCCACCAATGTCCCAGTCCCTGGAGAGGTCTCACCTGTCACTGCAATGCACTCCGAGCCTATCAGGTGAGTCTTTTTTCACCAAAGCACTGTGCACCTTTCTTTCTGGTCATTTTCGGTTGCTTTCTGAAATGGGTGAGTTTGCGCATGGGCCCTTTAAGAGCCACTTTTAATTTCTTTGTGAACCAGCTTTTCTGGGGTTACTCCCCAATGTTTTAGTAGCAGGCAAAGTCAGATATGCCACTCATCTCAATTGTGCTGGGTCCACAAAGTGCCTACAGTGGGCGCACTCCCGGCTCAGGGCCCCGCTCCTCCAGGGAGGCTGCGTACCTTTGGGCTGCTCCCGGGAGGCCGTGAAGCTGGCAGCTTGTGAAGGCGGCATTTTTTTCTCTCCAGAAGGGAGTTTCTGCCTCTTCCATCTCAATTAGGATTGTCCTTTGTTGCAGGAGTTCCTCTTATCTAGCTTTCAGTTCTGTCTCAGGGCTAATTTTTCCACGAGTAGTTGTAAATTGGCTGTGTCCGCAGGAGGAGGTGAGTTCAGAGTCTGCTTATGCCGCCATCTTGACTTCTCTCCAACACAGCTGCAAATTTTCGATTCTCAAGACCCTGGACGATGTCGCCATACAGCAGGAAGTAGCCAGACAAACCTCGCCACCCATGCTCCCATTGAAATGGAAGGTGAAAATTGACAGTGGGGATATTGTAACAGAGGAAAAACAAAAAGTCCTATAAGCCCTCTTCTCCTTAATTGAAACCTTATTCCCTATTGCCTACAATTATCTTCAGCAGCTTCCTTTCTCCCCCAGGGCTCAATTTCTGGTGATACAGGAAGATTGATCAATGGAACACAGGAACTCTTGTTGCATGTGAAGATAACAGCTGAACCAGAGCCTGAACATCTGAGACCCTTGCATAACTGCCCCACCAGTTGTCTACGGTCACGTAGACAGCACATTCTTTCCCATGAACTTCCCTTTAAAAACCCTAACTGCTAGTGCTTCAGGAGGACAGTGGTCTTCAAGGCATGAGCCTGCCACTTCCTCATTTGCTGGCAAATTAATAAATTACTCTCTCTTTTCCTCAATTGCTTGTTATTGTGTTCACTGATTTGGCTACAGTGACAAGGTCCCAGTTTTCGTCTGGAGAACTTAGAGAAAGAAAAGTTATCATCTCAGGATTTTAAGTGCCCATCTCAAAGTATGAAAAAGGAGCTAGAAAACCATGACTTCTCTAAAAGAAACCAGTCTCTCCTGTAGCTACAGGATTGAAACTTCTGGAAACCAACCCAAGTCTAATCTTGTGGATGACTTTATTTCTATGCAAATTGAATTCACAATCTCCAGGGGTTACTAGAGTGCACATATGGTTAGACACCATTGAAGCCCCATATTCTACCTAGCCACCTTTGCCAGAAAAGCAGACATTTACAGCCTGTCTCAAGTGTTTTATCTCTTCTTTCCTGAAGAAACTGTAATCGCCTCCTTTGAGGTATTTTTCTTGCAGGAGGTTGCAGAACTGTTCAAGACCTACCCCCCCTTTATCAAATTGCTTGGAGTCCAATAACCAGACTCAGGTTCAAACATACTCCAGGGCATTGGGTACACAGTATGACCTGGAAGGAGGTACCATACACACCATAAAGAATTTCAAGACAGCTAATTTGTACCAACAGAAACCTGAGGAACATCTAGGGGAATGCATCATAAGAGTTTTAGAATTAGGGTAAAGTGAGAAGAAACATTGGATTGGGTTGAATTTACTAATGTGAATGCTGGTCTCTCAAGTTGCTGGACATGACTCTACTTGTCTCAAATATGCCCTACACTGAATGAAGTTGAGATTCCAGAACTTCCTCCTTCTGCTATTGAGGAGGGCAACCAAAGAGTTAAGGTGATTGGGATACTGGAGTAGATTTATTATATGAGACTTGCTCATCTACTCTAACAATAGCCCAGGAAATTCCAGAGGACATTCCATTCATCAGCCTTTGGGAAATGCATTGTTGACAGGGAGCCTTGGCTTCCTGAAATGCTCTGTAGAGACCATTCTCTAAAGTCCAGGGATGACAATAGGAGATGGTGCTATTGAAAAGGGGTCCTTGAATTCAATGGGATGATAAGACCATGGAGTGTAGGGGTCAGGTGGCAGCACTTAAACCCAAGAAATAAGGTAAGTGTTGTTACTATAGTGGCCAGCAAAGCTGAAAGATTTGAAACACAGAGATCTCGGATGTTGGCTAAAAGACCATAATGTCTCTAGGACTGAAATAGACGAGCAACCACAATGGGGAAAGAATAGTCCCTTCACTAAATGATGTTGGGAAAACTGAATATCCACATGCAAAAGAATAAAACTGGACCATTATATCACGCCATACACAAAAATCAGCTCAAAACAAATATAAAACTTAAACATAAGACCTGAATGTTTAAACCTCCTAGAAAAAAACATAGGGTAAAATCTCCTTGACATTGACCTTGGCAATAATGTTTTGGTTATAACACCAAAAGCTCAGACAACAAAAGCAAAATTAAACAAGCGAGACTAAATTAAACTAAAAAGCTTAAGCACAGCAAAGGAAACAATCAGCAAAATGAAAACACAACCTATAGAATGAGACAAAATATTTGCAAACAACATATCTGATAACAGGTTAATATCCAAAATATATAAGGAACTCCTACAACTCAATAGCAAAAACCTCAACAATCCAATTAAAAAATGGGCAAAGGACCTGAATAGACATTTTTTCCAAAGAAGACATACGAATGGCCGACAGGTAGGTGAAAAGTTGCTCAATATTATTAATCATCAGGGAAATGCAAATCAAAACCTCAATGAGATATTACCTCATACCTGTTGGGATGGCTATAGTAAAAAAACAGAAGATAACAAGTGTTGGTAAGGATGTAGTGAAAAGGGAACCCTGATACTCTGTTGGTGGGAATGTAAATTGGTATAGCTATTATGGAAAACAGTGTGAAGATTTCTTAAAAAATTAAAAATAGAACTATCACATGATCCTGCAATCCCTCTTCTGGGTATATACTCAAAGGAAATGAAACCAGTATCTCAAAGAGATATCTTCGCACCCATGTTTATTGCAGCATTATTTACAATAGCCAAGACATGGAAACAACCTGAATGTCCATCAATGGATGAATGGATAAAGGAAATGTGATCTATATATATATAATATCACAAAATTTTATATCACATATATATTTATTTATATTTTTGTATTATTTATATAATTATATTATATTAATATTAATCATATTATATATTAATATAATATGATTTATATTTTTATATATTTGTATTTTACATTTTATATATACATATATTATTCAATCCTAAAAAAGAAGGAAATCCTGCCAATTTCAACAACGTGGGTGGACCTTGAGGGCATTATGTTAAACAAAATGTCAGACAGAAAAAGACAAATATTGTATGATGTCACTTATATGTGGATTCGAAAAAACAAGCTGCATAGGAACAGAGAACAGATTGGTTGTTGCCAGTGGTGGGAGGTGGGGGGTGGGGGAAATGGGTGAAGGTGGTCCAAAGGTACAAACTTCCAGTTATAAGATAAATAAGTTCTGGGAGTATAATGTACAACATGATGACTATAGTTAACAATACTGTATTGTTTATTTGAAAGTTGCTCAGAGAGTAGATCTTAGAAATCCTCATCACAAGAAAAAGAATGGTGACTATGCGAGGTGATAGGTGTTAACTAACATTTTGTGATAATCATTTCTCAATACATACATATATCAAATCATTATGTTGTATACCATAAACTTATACAATGTTATATGTCAATTATATCTCAAGAAAACTGGAAAAAATAGAGGGCTGTAATGCCAAAAATAAATAATTTAAAACACCGAAAAATTTCCACTTTTTTTGTTTGTTTGTTTTGTTTTGTTTTTTGTTTATTGAGGTAACATTGGTTTATAACATTGTATAAATTTCAGGTGTACATCATTATACTTCTATTTCTGCATGGATTACATCATGTTCTCATGTTCACCACCCAAATACTAATTACAATCCATCACCATACACATGAGCCTAATTATCCCTTTCGCCGTCATCCCTCCTCCCTTCCCCTCTGGTAACCACCAATCCAATCTCTGTCTCTATCTGTTTGTTTGTTGTTGTTATTATCTACTACTTAATGAGTGAGATCATATGGTATTTGACCTTCTCCTCTGACTTATTTCACTTTGCATAGTTCCACTTTAATAACAAATTAGTGTAATGAAATAGTTCCATCTTAGCCTGAGTAGAGTGGTGTGCATTACAAAAAATTGAGAAACAAATTACATCTACTCATTCTTCTTCAGTTGGTAGACGCTAGACCAGGAAGCAATACTGAGATAAATATTTTTTGTGTCCAAAAAGCTATGAATTTAAAGAAATTAATGGATGAAAATAACTCAAATTTTTGTTACTGCCTTTTTGTGTTTCAGACATAAGGATTGCAAGGTGTCGTTTGGACTGTCTGGAAATCTATATTTATGCTCAGTTATGAAAGTGAACCATTATGTAAGAAGACCTATTTGAAGTAAGCCCATAATGCTTACTTCAGTCTGTGGTTCTAAGAGGAGCAGAAAAGAAAGTGTGGTGGTTAATCAGACTGTTACTTCAGTACTGTACTGCAGACTTGAATTAGAATACATAGTAAAAGATGAAATACTTATTTTTTTTTTTATTTTTAAAAATCTTTTTAGTTTCCTAATTCTTTGAAAGAAACGCCATCTTTTTATTGAGTCCTTGAAGGCTTGTTTGACTTGCTTATTCCGGAGAGTATAAATGAAAGGGTTCATCAAAGGGATAACTGAGGTGTTGAGCAATGACACCACCTTGTTAATGGCCACTCCTTCCTTTGCTGGTTTGATATAGATGAAGATGCAACTTCCATATGTGATGGAAACTACAATCATGTGAGAAGAACAGGTGGAGAAAGCCTTTTTTCTTTGCTGAGCTGAAGGGAGTCTTAAAATAGTCTTGATGATGTATGTGTAGGATATGATTACACAGACTAGTGTCAATATGAGGGTCAGCACAGCCATGATTAAAACAAGTTGCTCTACAAATTGAGTGTCTGAGCATACAATCCTCAGAAGGGGAGACGCATCACAGCCAAAATGGTCAACGAGATTAGAGTTACAAAAATCTAGCTGAACTCCCAGGCTAAGCGGTGGGAGTATGACAATTAACCCCACCAGCCAACAGCAAAGGACCAGAATGGTGCACACCCTTTCATTCATGATAGTGCTGTAGTGCAGGGGCTTGCAGATGGCCACGTAGCGGTCATAGGACATGGCAGTCAGAAGAAAAAATTCCGTTGCCCCAATGAGGATGACAAAAAATAATTGGATGGCACAAGCATTGTAGGTAACACTTTTGTCCCCAGTCGTCATGCTGTACAGAAATCGAGGAACACAGACAGTTGTAAATATTATTTCTAAGATGGAGAAATTCCGAAGGAAAAAGTACATGGGTGTTTTAAGGTGAGAATCCACCAGAGTGAGGAGGATAATGATCAGATTTCCAGCAACAGTGAAAATGTAGGTGAGAAACAGAAATACTGAAAGAAAAACCTGTAGTCGTGGGTCATCTGTTAATCCTAGTAGGATGAATCTTGTAATTGCAGAATGGTTTTTCATCACTGTCTTCAGATATATAATGAGTCTGTATTAAGAAATCATAAACTTTGAATCTGAGGAGTAGAATATAAAAATAATATTTCAATAAGCTGTATAGAGAAAAGTAGCCAAGCCAGCCAGGAGAAGCACATTTCTAAACTTTTATTTGATCCTCAATAATAAGGTGTAGAAGTGATTGCATTGGGCCTCATTTTCCTGGACACTGCTTTACCTTGGTCTTCAGAATGTGGTTTATGGAAAATACCTATCTGAACTTTCATTTCCACTCCAGTTACAGGACCAGTTTTAAAGTAGATAGAAAATACCACAAGGATCTCACAGTCCTCTGAGATTAGGGCAGCCATTATGGTATCCCCAGTCCTCAGTGTAGAGCAAGAGATCCATAAATGTTCATAAATAGAAAACATCTGTCTAAAAATTTTATCTCCCCATCTGTCAGGACAGCATATCAGCAAATCCCATTCTCATACTCTATGGTAATATAATACATATAATACCACCAGTGGCTTAACTGTGTTATTTTCCTTGCTTTGTAACACTTGTTCCCTTCAGATAATTCCTTAATCTCCCCAACACCCTAAAGAATCTTTTTCTGTTTGGGTGACCTGACAGCAGTAGCACAGAGTTATGATGAAATTTCTGGAGCCCCAAACTCCTCTAGAACTTCTTCTCTGTTCCCCTTTTATGATAATATGCTGAAATATTTAAGTCTGTGTCCCTCCCATGTTTCAGTTGAAAAGCCTCTGTTTTGTTTCCTTTCCTGAATTCCTATTTCGACACTCATCTGTTGTCTAATGTCCCACCCATCTCAAGCCTTCCCAGAATACTGACAAATGGGATGTTCTGAAGATCTTTCCCAGAGAATAGACTGTCCTTAGGCTTCCCTGATCCTTATTGGGGTTTTGTAGTTTATGCATAGACATTTCAGCTCCCAAATGCCTTCTGAGGCTACTTGACAACTCCATTAATAACATAATGTATATCCTCCAGATGGGCAGAGGAAGGAGAAGACCACTTGGAGAAAGAGTTGACTTCTTTGCCATGATTCATTTCTCTGAAGACTCACTTTGCCCTTGGGAATGTCACCAACCATTGCTGCCCCTGTCATTGCTTCAGGACACCTATTTACTCTTCAGCACTCTGGCCCTACGATAGACTCAGACTATGCTTATTCCCCCAAAGAACAGTTATTATCAGGCATTAATACGTAACAAGGATTAAATATGACATGAGGAATAAATAAAAGTTGGCTATTAGGTGTGGATCTTCTTTTTTTTTTTTTTAAAGATTTTATTTATTTATTTTTCCTCCCCAAAGCCCCAGTAGATAGTTGTATGTCATAGCTGCACATCCTTCTAGTTGCTGTATGTGGGACACAGCCCCAGCATGGCCGGAGAAGCGGTGCGTCGGTGCGCGCCCGGGATCTGGGCCCGGGCCGCCAGCAGCAGAGCACGCGCACTTAACCACTAAGCCACGGGGCCAGCCCGAGGTGTAGATATTCTTAAAAGTTGAAAAATCCCAATCCATCCTTATGAGTTTTCCTACAAGACTGCCTCCCTTCTTTTGAGGATCATGTCAAAGAAGCCACCGTTTCACCACCTTCCAGGAAGCCCTTAGTACTTTTATCTCTCACATTTCCTACCTAATCACTTACCTTTCCCAGCGATTGGGGCAATATTGTAGTTCTCAGAAGTGCCAGAGCTGGAATCTAACTCAGGTCAAACTGGATCCAAAGCTTAAGTGTTTCCAGGAAAGATGTAATCTTAGGATTTGGGGCAATTTCTCATCCTTAGTCAATTCTAATGATTGAATTAATTAAAATGTTAGCTTTCCAAATGTTTCTTAGTAGCAAACAGTATGTCTGGGGCATCTGGGTTTCTTAAATAAACGACTAGAATGAAATCTCCCCGTGAGACACCAATTACTTTGTAATATGAATTTTTTTTATGTGATGCTTTAAGATATTTCCCACAAAATACCTTAAGTGCTGTTTCCCTCTGTGCTTAGGGAAGGCATCATTTCTACTGAGGAGAGTTGCCACAGTGTGATAGGGTTTATAGATGCCTTCATAGGAGGAGGCTGCTGACCTAGGCCTATGGGATAAAGGGTTTGCCTGAGTGTCAGCAAACAAATAATGCGTGCTCATGCAGAGATTGCTCTGCTAGGCTAAGACACGAGTGTTTCTTGAGAGCCACGCATCTTCCCACTTTGTGCCTCTACTGTTCTCTTCAGCTCCTTTACCTGCATAACCCAATGCCTTCATGCTGGCCAATACCCCAATCCCACATTAGTATCCCTGGGTGGTACACCATCATACATTATAAAAGTATATAATCTTGTGTCCTTAATTTGAAGGAAATTGCTGGAATGAGATTTGTACATAATTTCACATCATTGTTTAAATGATTACTGAAGGCGGAAAATCATTAGTAGAAGGAAATATTATATAATACTGGAGTTTTAGGCCATGACTGTTTCACTTCCTGCTATCAAGGATAATTTTAAATTAGGTAAAACAGGTAAAAACATAATAAAATGAGTACATATTCACTTACATTCATCTAGAACCAATAAAAAAGTATAAGAAAGAAAGGAAAATATCCTTCAATCACATCACACACTGTTCATCCTTATTAACATCTTGTTGTGTTTATTTACAACCTGTTTGTACATATACAATTATGTAATGCTGTTATTTGTATTTTATAAAATTAATATTATATTGTAAATAACACGATGTTTTCTTCACTTAACCTCACTTTACCCATTCACTTATTTTTAAAGCACTAAAGCACTTACAATGGATTTTCCTCATGTCATTAAATATTCTTCAAAAACACAATTTTACTTGTTATATCCATTCATGTAAGAAATAAAATTATAAAATTAATATTTCTAATATTGAGCATTAAGGTTTCTTCAATTTGTTATATAACAATGTTTTAGAGAGCACTCTTATATATAAATCTTTTTGTCCTCATCAGATTAATTTCACATTTAAAAACTGGTCAAAAAAGAAATATTGAATAAAGGGCTTCCAACACGTATTGCAAAACTACTCCTTTAGAAAATGTGTCCCAGTGTATACTCCCACCATTTGCAAGTCGAAATCTCTGTTTCTCAAAGCCTTGGGGGTTTGGGCATTATTATTTGGGGTATCATTTTTAATATTTTTTACTGACAAGATAATCCTAACTGCTAGATGTTTCATTGGTATTTTTCTTATAAGTGAGGTACACCACTTTATTCAAATTGGTCACTTAAGTACAAAATCATCATCATTATATTTCCCTGACCATATAATGTTTTAAATTAATAACAATCACATACTTATTTCACACTTTTATCTAAGTTATTTGACTGAACACACCAGTAAAAGAACAATTAACATCAGAGGCTCCAAATCCTAGAATGTAGTCTAACCTAATTAACATGACTTTAATTATTATGGATTCTTTTAAGACTGAGGCTGCCCAAGGGATGGACTGGAATGTTCAAGGATAAGTTAAATAACCATTTAGCAGGGTGTTTTAAATGAGTGGTTGCCCCTTTGAAATTATTTCTAGCCTTGATATTCTAAGAGTCAATGAAAAAGGGAGAATTACTTTTTGATATCCTTTTTGGGCCTCTCTCATTAAATCGTTACACTGTGGCAGTGACTACACTTCCCAGTTGTTACATATCTGGTCTTGTCCTTAATTCTGATCTCTTCCAAGAGCAGTGCTCAAGGGTCATTATCAGATTTACCATGTCGTAAAAAGAACAAAGTGGCAGCTCAGAGATTACTCTTCAAATCCTCTCTGAACATGGAGGTACTTCTTGAACTTAGATTTTCTAGCAGAAATATCTAAACTCACAGCCTTACACACAGCCTGCTTTTACACAACTTCCAAGGTTCCAGTTCCCAAACCCTTAGGCACATAAATGACAAACATTTCATACTTACTTTCTAGTGGTTCCCCATCACTTTCTGGGAAATTTAACCCAAACACTGAGAAATACTAGGTGCTAGTGGCTATAATTTTGAGTTAACTTCTGCATACTTTTAAGCCCAACATGCTGTTCCAGTAAGAGGTGATATGCTTTGGCACAGAGAACAGCTCCCTTTGCTCTTCTCATCACCAAGTCTGAAATGGAATCTGATGAGAGTTCCTATCTCTCATTAAACTATTAAATAATATCTCCCTGAACTCTGTGACTGAGAAATGGACAAACAACAGCAAATAAACACCAGCAATTCTCCCGACTGTGGAAGGGATGATGGTCTGACCTCTCTGTGCAAAGAAATGTGTTGCTGTACAAATTTTCATTAATAGAAATGGCATGTGCTTTATTGGGTTTATCTGCCTAAGTGCACAGGGAATAATTAAGTGAAAAACAAAAATGTCCTTGGTGACCCTATTCAAACCACTGACGAATCTACAGTGATTTAATTTGGCAAAAAAAAAAGAAAAGAAAGAAAATTAACCAGCACTTATGGGACGGTGTCCACCGAGATAAGAAATGCAGTCACAATAGCATCAATTTCAGCAGAAAAAAAATAGAGAGAAAAAAACTCAGATGATAAAATAACCATCTGATTCTCATCATATTTTCTTTACATTTCTTTACATTGTCTAAATGCTGGGGCCATCTGATGATTTCTGTTACAGGACAAACTCATATGATCTAAACAAGTCACTCCTCCCCAGATTTCTGATTATTAGTCCTCAATATGTCTTATTTCAATAATTATGAGAATTAATGTTTATTTTATTTCATTCTACTGATCGTATAGTTCATCCAGTGGTCCTATTAAGGTAGAACTAATTAGTATTCATATATCCATTAATAACTGCTATTTCATAACTCAACTACTGCTATTTCACACTCAAAACATGCAGGGACCTTGCTAAACTCAATGTGTCATTCTGCTTATCAAGAATGAAAGACCTGGGTGTATTGTGCACAGTATCCAGCACTGTATCATAAGCCCAGAGATCACCCCCACCCTTCCACAG